GTTTTGTATAGCTATAGGCCAATGCATATGCCTAATTTTGTGTTTCGGGTTCATTCCATGCATCGGGTGCCATGTTTCCATGTTTCGGGGCTGTTTTGCATCATATTTCAGCACTGAAATTTTCATGTTTGCATACCATGTTTCATGCATTGCCATGCCTTGTTAGTGTTGCATGCTATGCCTTGGGTTCGGTCCTCGATTTGCGTGCATGCGTGCACGCATCTCGAGTGTCTCATTTTCATCTAATGGCTACCGATGTAAGTGTGGTTGAGGTCCACTCATGTTGGTGTAAGTCCATTTTGCATTGTGTATGCCATTTCAATTCATAGCATTTCGTATGCTAGGTTGTATGTTACAGCATCGTGTATGCCATGTTACATCGTGCATTGTGTATGCCATTTCATAGCATTGTGAATGCTAGGTTGTATATTAGTTGCATTCATGCATGTCATGCATATTGCATTGTGCTTGGGATAGGAATTAGCCCAAGCACGGGAAACGAGGTACGTTTCATACTCTGAGTGACGGAACGTGTCTCAATTCTTGGTCGCCGACGCTCCGGATTATCCATGATGGAGTCTAGGCTTGTTGTGTCCATATGTGCATTCATTTCATATTGAGTCGTGCAAATCGACTCCTCGGCCATCATGCATCGAGATGCGTGATTGGTGGCACGAGGATCGAAGACTACACTCCCTGAAGAGTAGTCATGCATACATATGTGAAAATACTTTGCCATGCCCCTTTGTTGCTCTCTGTTGCAGCAAATCAGAAATTAGCAGCCTTCCAAAGCTTGGCACGCATCCCGAGAATAATTGCAAACAGAGGCTAATTGGGGCATCGCAGTGGATTTCTGCACAAGGCAACTCAAGCATGCATCATCCATCATCCGGAGCAGAGTTGAGGCAGTCCTTGACTTGCATGCCAATTTATTACTTTCCTAATTTAATTTGTTAATTAATTAGGGTTTTGTACATATTTGAACTGTAATATTCATTCGGGACTGTGTATTATTTATTCAGACCTTCCGTGTGAGGGCAATATTGTAATAAGTGTGCGTGTGTGTGATGTATGTCTTCCAACCCCACGTCTTTCTCCCTTTTATTTACCAGCTTATGATGGTTAGATTAGGGCACGTTTCAATTAACATACAGTATGATACATGTTTGCATTCATTCATCTGTTTTGCATGCCACCGGGCTGGCCGCATCATATAACTGCATTGTATTTTCAATTTTCAAGTTGAATACATGTTAGCTGTAGCATTTCATATGCCATGTTTTAGAATAGCCGAGCCTGCTATAGTTTGCATTTTTGCATGTGTTGCATTAGAACATTCTGTATAGTTAGGATCATGCATGGATTTCTAACCTAGCTTCTGTTTTGGCTTGGAGTACTCGGTAAAGTTTTAACGCTTAAGGCATCCTTGCATGCGTGGTGAGTGAATGCCATGATAGCATGCTTACCATGAGGCTATGTGCTTATGTGATATAAACCTGCCTGAATGCCTATGGTGAAGGTTGGGTTATTTGAATTGGAACAATTCATTAATTCTGAGTTTTAAGCCCACTAGATAGTGGCAAAATCATGTTTTCTAAGCCCACCTGAAGGGTGGCAAATTCACGCCTTAGCCTACTTGCGAGTAAGCACCATCAAAACCATTTCATAACAAACAAACATGAAATGTTTTGTTTCCAATTCAGGGCGATCCAGTCTATACTTGTATGCTGTGCGCATCAACATAGTAAATCTAGGCTAATAACCGGAATAAGAACGCATAATGTTTTCAAAATAGATATCATGGTTAGTAGAGGCCGATCTTTTGATCGCAGCGGGGGTGCTTACGAAGTGACCTTCTCCAATCGTACCCAAGTTCCCGAGCCGAGGCAACTTTGGTGATGACGGACACGTGGCCTTAGGCAAACGAGTCAGGGTTTCTAGTTTCCCGAAATAAAATATTTTGGTGGCGACTCTGTATCTGGCAAAGCAGTCCATGTTTGGCACTTCTTTCAAATTCTGTTTTCTCAAAACGATTTGCCGATTTGGACTCTTTGGTTCAGATTTAGAGCCGTGACAAATTGAGAGTTCGAACTGTAGTGAGCCCAATATCGAACGGAACGGGACCTCATCCCTCCCGGGGGCGTTCGGGGACGTCTACAATATTTTGAACAAATTTTTTTTTGTAAAAAAAATTAGATGTATTCAAAAAGTATAATATTTGTAAAAAAAATTATTACAAGCTTAATAAATACTACAAAATACAAAAATGTAAAAATTCAATACATTTTCATTTTCTTTGTATTTATTGAATTTTTTAAAAATTTCTTTACAAATATTTTACTTTTTGAGTACATTTACAAAATAAAATAAAAAAATTGAACAAAATATAAAATAAATCCACTAAAAATAAAAGAAAATATGAATTGAAAACTCAAAATCTAATTTTGAAAACTAAATAAGCAAACATAGAAATTTTGAGAGAGTAGTTTGATTTTAATGTTCGGTTTAGAGTTTTCAAAAGGAAAATGTTTGACATCCATTAAAAATTCTCATAATTTGACCTATAATGATATTGTAGGATAGATGTCAATTTTTAAATTATTATATACTTAATGATATAAGGTCTAACTCACTTGCCACATTATTATGGGTGATTTTGTGGGTCTAAATTGTAGGTCACTAGCATTACTCTTTTCAAAAACAGTTTTTTGAGTTTTTAATATGTATTTTTTTTAGTGATTTATTAAAATATTTTAATCAATTTTTTTTTTATTTTTTAGATTCATGTAATTTAGTACAATCAAACAAAGTACGAAATTTATACAATTTTTTTTTCCCGAAAACTCATTGAATCCAAATAATATATATATTCAGTATATTTTCATATTTTGTTATATTCAATAAATTTTTAAAGAATTTTTGTATAAATTTTATACTCTTTAAGTGTATCTAGATTCAAATGATTTAAAAAGTAAAAAAAATTAACAAAAATATTTTAAAAATTTACTTAAAAAATATGGATTGAAAATTTAAAAAACTGTTTTTGAAAATTTCAAACCAAACAAATGTTATATACAATATTAAGAGGGGGGGGGGATTCTTTAGATTTGACGGTTGTTAACAAACATAAATCCTGAATTTTTAATTATATCAATTTATTCACATTAAGTTTAATAATTAAAATACCATTTTTTTGGGGTCAATTTTACTCAATGAAAATAAGTAAATTATTTATATTGAAAATAAATCAAAAGATTATAGTTTAAATTGACAAAATTAAAAATTTTAGATTTAGTTCGCTACAAAACTCAAATTCTAAAGGGAAAAAAAATAATAATTTTTTTAACTTAATATTAATTTTCACTGCATTTTTTTTTACTGTTATGAAAAATGCTTATAAATTTCTTGAAATCATATATTTTAGTGGTTAAGCATTTAAATAATATAGTTGTCGATAAAAATATCGTCACTTATTGCTCTCTCTCTCTCTCGTTGTGATTTTGCAGGGTCTGAAGCTATACTATATATAAAAATTTGGAAGGGACAAGTATTATAATATAGAAATAACACAAGCATGTCATGGAATGTATGTTACATGAGTTGTCTTGTAACCATGTAATGCATCTGTATCAGTGGAATAAATGAAAGTCCTTTCGAAGCTTCTAAGATTTTGCAGTTTTATGGTACTTTAAAAATATCTTTGGCAACTAAAATTTTAGTTGCCAAAAACTTATTTTTAGTGACCAAAAAAAAAATAGTCATCGTATATTTATTTTTTCCGACCAAAAAAAAGTTAGTCACCAAATTAATATTTTTGGCGACTAATGTTTTAGTCGCTGTTAATTAAGATTTGGCTACAACAAAATTTAGCTCACCAATTATTAACATTTGCCAACCAAAAACTACTTTTTTCGCCAAAGGTGTGAAAATTTTAGAGGGAGACCAATTATCCCCGCCTGTTCTCTGTTTAAACAAATCAGATTGTTCTCTCTCTCACATAGATTCTCCTTCACCCCCACCTCACTGCTGGTGGCCACCAAGAAGCAAGGCAACAATCTGCATCAAAGAAACAAACCAAAATTAATATCATATTAGAGTACAGAAGTGAGAGAGAGAGAGAGAGTACATAGAGTGTTGACCGGAATGGTGCCCATGAGATCGGTGTGCCAGAGGTTACGGTAGTTCTAGCAGAGCTGCATCTTGTCCAAATGCTCTTGCGACGCCATTGACATCTTTGAAGAGCTCGAAAACCAGGAAACCCTAGCTGATGATGAAGAGGAAAGATTTTCGAAAACACTTTTGAAAAACACCCAAAGCACTTGGCCCATTCCTAAAACTTTGGGTAATCTAAGCTGGTTCATGTGTTTTCTAAGCTGGCTTGTTTCGAGGGGTGTGGTAGAAAGAAGGTTGAGAGAGATCAGGAATCGAGACGAGGACTCAAATCTGATTTAGATCTCGACAATTTTTTAGATCCGGCGGAGGCACCAGTGGAGGAGAAGAAGGATGAGCCCAGTTGTATAGTCAGCTTTGGCAACTAAAATTATTTAGTCGCCGAATGAAAAATAAAAATTTACTTTTTATCTTTAGCGACCAAAACTTTGGTCGTCAAAAATTTATTTTCAACGACTAAATAAATTTTAGTCATCATGTCATAACTTTTGCCGACTAAAAGAAATTCAGTCGCCAAATATCTAGTATAATTTGATTTTAATATTTGGTGACTACCTCATTTGGTTAGAAAAATGTACATTTGTGGTGACCAAAACAAATTTAGTCAGTATTTATTTTATTTTTGAAGACTAATTGAGTTTTAGTCGTCGAAAATAATGTTTTGGACTACAAAAAATAAAATTAGTCTCTAAATATGTAATCTTTAACTATTAAAAATAATTTAATCAGTATTTATTTAATTTTAAGTTATTAAATTTTGGTCCCTAATTATAATTAAAAATTTTGGAGGCCAGACTTCAAATTTTGGAGGGATTTTCAAATTAATTTGGTGAGGAAGGGATTTTGGTGGGATTTCAAACATGCAAATGAGTTGGGGCTTGGAAACAAAAGTGCCTCTCTGTCTCTCTCGCATCTGCCCTCCTTCGATTATCTCTCTCTCTCTCTCCTCAATTCCCTGTCGCAGACCCAACCCCGAACCCCCTATTACTGTCTTCATTTTCTCTCTTCCTCACTCCCTCTCTCTGCCATCCCAATCTTCATCAACAGTGGTGGCCAAACTTCCTATTTCAGCCATAGGGGAGATTTCGAAAGGAGCCACTACAAAAAGGAAGATTTCACTGGACCAACACCGTCTCCAGGGAGATCGGTACTCGGTCGTCGTCAATATTCAAGGAGATCCGAAACAGGTTATTTTAATTAGTTAAGTTCTTCGTTTCCCCGCAACCCCCCCCCGAATCATATCAATCTCTCTCTTGGCAGATCTTGGTTGCTCACATCCGATTCTTCGCGGTTAAGCTTTCCGATCGGTGGTCGAAGCAGCAACGAACTTCTAACCCCTACATTGTCGAGATTGCTGACTGTGATGATGTTGAAGTTTACATTGAGGCTCTAAGTTTGATGTATTGTAAGGATTTAAGGAAGAAGCTCATGAAGGAAGATGTCACTAGAGTACTTGGAATCTTGAAGGTACAAATAATCATTTGCACATTGTAGAGGAAACTATGAACTTTTGTTGAATTTGTAGATTTATATGTTTGTTCCGATTTGTATGTGTATAGGAAATGATGTGTATACGTTTGTACCAATTTGCCTATATGTATATGTCTGTTTTTCTTGCCTTCAAACTATTTGATAAAATGTCTCTTAGGAACTACTTAGTGTAAAACACCCTTTTGGACCCATCCCCTGATTGGGATGGAGGACAAGGTCAAAGTTAAATAATTCTAATAATACATTTGCTCATTGTGTCATGTCCCTGCTTTGACTCTTGATCTGTTTTGTTTGGTTTACATGATGCTAAAAATTGAATTTGACGTTTTCTCAGCATGCATTCTGGGCTACATACATGCTGCATTGCTTCATATGTATCATGTCCCTGCCTTGTCTTCTGAGCCTTGTTATTTGGTGTACAGGATGTGGATGCCAAATGTTTGAATTAAAGACCTGTTACTATGCCTTATGGATCATGTGCGTGCTGCACTGCCTCGCCACTGTATTATTGTAAATGTATATGAAATTACTTTAGAAAGCTGTCATGTTTTCTTCATCAGGGGGACCTTGGGGAAAAGAAAAAAAAAAATCAATGAGATTATTGCCCTTACATCTTCATGTGACATACTGGATGGAGTAGAAATTTTTGTTATGTGTATGATCACTCAAAATTGGAAACATATGCAGCTTTGAGCTTGAATTGTTAGTATTGCAAGTTTGCAACAATGAAAACCATGTGAATGGACCCATTTTATAAAATTTATTTATAGTTGTTTTGAGTGATCGATAGATATTATAGTTATGAGATGCAGTGCCACAAGTTGCAGCAAGTGTTTCATACTTCCATGATTAGATATTTTAGTATGGTTTGTTATGTTAACAAAGGCTCCATATTGTGGCCATTACTTTTCTTTGTATGTGCATGGATTTAATTATCTCTTTGTGCCGCTTTCTCTTAAATTTTCCCCCTTTCTTTTACTTTCAAAGTTTTGTACTTTTCGAACCATTAAAGCAGTGTTGCTTGGTTGAATGGTGAAATCCCTGGCCTGGCAATCATGGGAATACAAGTTTGTGTGAGAGTAGCCATTGCACGCAAATAATGCCTAAGGTTATGTTTGTATCTGGTTCACCCCTCCTAACGTCATCGATTAACTGACCAAAACTAGATTGTCTTTTTTATTTTTTAAACCACCCATTTTTTATTATTACTTGAAACATCTTCCTGTTCAAATTTATACACCTCACATTGAACAGTCAGCTAGCAATACTTAGTTATTTGCAATCTCATCCCAGGATTCTTAATTTGCTGGGAGGGTGATGGATGCTCTCTTAATCCATTGATTGATGGATAAACCCTCCTTAACGTGCTACTTTGATGTATCAACTCACAGATTTGACTGTAGATCAGATTTCTGTATTACATTGATTCATCTTTTTTTCTTAAATGTGTAACACACAGATTTTACTTTCATGTCCATGCAAACTAATTTTGCTATGTCTTTTAGGCATTTGCTTTCAGTTCGACTGCGAAAGCGAAGCGATTGCAATTGCGTGCTTCGGAGAAAGAGCAGCGGAGGCTTCATGTACCGACGATTGACTGGTCTATCGGAGAACCGGCACCGTATGTTGTGCTGGTGCAGGGTCCTCCCCAGGTAATTATCTATTTTTTAGTAGCTAGTAATGAAGTTATGATAATGGGATTACTTAGAAAATATGAAGAAGAAGAACTCCGAAAATATGAGGAAGAAGGAATATATTTCTGTTATATTCAAAACTTCTTATCTTACAAGACCAAATGACACTCCTTATATAGGAGATATTACAAACATCATCATAACCCATTATATGCCACTTACATATTATATATTACCACTATCTTTTTTTTTAATCAAATTTGAGTGAAAATTTGGTTGAAAGCTTGATCTGGTATGGAACACTCTAATCCTTACTCTTTGTTTCTTATGCAAAAAACCTGTTTTATCGATTTTTTATGAAGAAAAAAAAATCATATTTTTTCAAGAAAATCTCATCAAATTGTTGGAAATTAGTGAAGGATTTGGTTCATTCTTGATTTGGTTAAAATTTTGGCTCTCCCATGATTTGATACAAGTTTGATGAAATGATTGGGGCTCACTTTTAACTCTTTATTCATCAAATGTGAATTTGAGGAAAGAATTAGTGAAGGATTGGAAATGTTCACAGGGTTTCTTGTATTCACCGGTTGAGGTAGAAGTGGTTGGTCAATTTTTTTTCTATTATTTTTGTTTTTTAAGGGAAGCAAAGGCACAATTTGTGGAGTGCCCAAATGATATTAATGGTATGATTGATGCTGCAAAGTTTGCTGATCTAGCTCTGCTTCTCATTGATGGAAGTTACGGTTTTGAAATGGTAAGGTCTTATTGGCATATTACTTTACCACTAAGAAATTTTTTAACCCACTTCTGTATTATTATAAGCAAGTATCAAGTCATATATGATTCTGTTATTTTGGAAATTATTTTATTTTATTTTGTTTTGTTTTTGTGCCTAGGCTTAGAGAGTAGCAAGTGTATTTTTAGCATTCAATGGAAATGCTTTTGTTCGATTGGTAAAATGATGCACTAACCTGCATATTTATAATTTTCTTTCTGGCAATAATAATCAAATTTGATTGGTTGTTAACTACAAAGTTTACGGATTTTTGAAGCTCGTCAAAATCATTGGATGGGTGTTGTGCAATGCTCGTGATCCGTAATTTATCCTATTTTGTTTTTAATCTTTTTCCCTCCCCAACTTATCCATTCTTATTTTAACTGTTTCACTTACAATTTATTCTGAATTTATGGACATTTTTGTTGGTCTGGCTCATCTGATCTAAGTATTATTATTGTTATTATTATTAATTATATATATATATATATATATATTAAGTCTGGTGTAATGGGGTATTTTGTTCTTGCAGGAAACTTTTGAGTTCCTTAATATTTTGCAAAATCGTGGATTCCCTAAAATAATGGGAGTTCTTACACATATTGATAAGTTCAAGGATGTAAAGAAACTTAAAAAAACAAAACAGCGCCTCAAGCATCGATACTGGACCGAAATATATGATGGAGCTAAACTATTCTATTTGTCTGGTCTTATTCATGGGAAGTAAGTATTCGACTGCCTCTTGTTCTGAAATCTGCAAGTTCACTTCTATCTTGTAATTAAATAATCAATACCTTAACAGAATACTCATTAGATTTATGATCCATTTTCTGATTGAACAGGTATGCTAAGTGTGAGGTTCACAATCTTGCAAGGTTCATTTCTGTTATGAAATTTCATCCTTTGTCTTGGCAAACTACCCATCCTTATGTATTGGTAGATCGTTTTGAAGATGTCACACCTCCAGAAAGAGTGCATATGGATAATAAATGCAATAGAAATGTCACTTTATGCGGTTATTTACGTGGATGTAATTTGAAGAAAGGAACTAAGGCACGTATATCTAACCTTTTCATTATATTATCACTTTTGTTTATATGAATTTCTAATGATGGAAAAGTTCTTTGGAACAATATTGTTGGTCACTCCTTGAAATGGAAATCTGCTGGACTTGGTTTATGTAGTGCAACATAAGGAAATAGAAAAATGTGTATTCTAGATAACTATCAAATTGGTTTACTTAAAATGATTTTTGTATGTCCAGTTTTCCTGTTGCATTTTTTACAAAGTCTAGCTAACTTTTTCCTTTGTTGAAGTCATCGACAGGATTATAGTGATATTTTGATGTCCAAAATTTTTTATCCAAATAAGAGAATGGTAAAATTGATGTCCAAAATCAGCTAATCACCTCATTTTTTGTTTCTTTCTTTAAATATATTTATTAAATGAATTACCAAGTTGATCACCTCAGTTTTGCACCATATAAATTTTGTTGATGAGGTGTGCCAGTTGCTGTGTGCCCTCCTTGTTTTATGATTTTGTTACATGCATGTACAAATTTTACGGTCCTTGTAATGGACTGAATTAGCATTACATTAGAGGGGAAACAAAAAGGAAGAAGAATATTGACTCAGCAGCATCTGCATTATGGTTCCTTGCTGCTGAGGGTCACACCTCATTTCATGTTCATTTATAAGACCTTTTATCTATTGTTCACCATTAAAAAATTATGATTGACTTTATGATGCCTCTTGTATACAGTGATGCCTCTTGTATTTTTCTGTTGTTACATGCTAGTTATCTGTACTTGATAGAGTGATGCCTCTTGTATTTTTCTGTACTTATTACGCACATTATCCTATAGTGATTAACTTTATGATATCTTGAATTGAATTGGCATTAGGGTTCTTCACAATCTGCCACCCTCGGTGAAGCTACCATCAACCTGCTGATTATGCTGATGCACTGAAGCCTTCTGCCATTGCACTGCCTCTACATGGATGTAAGTCTGGAACTATTTTACATGTAAGATACTTCTATCAGTTCTTTAAGCTTTGGACCAAGGGGAAAAAAAAACAAGGGTCGAAAAAAAAACCTTTGGACCAAAATGTAGTAGTACAAAGGATATAAAACTACAACTAAATTATGAAAATAGATAGCTCCAAATTTTAACTTAGTTTCCATTGTTGAAGCACAGGTCAATATTGGCAAATTGTGGACCAATAGTTAGAATTGTAATGTTTATTGGATATATACGTATGAATGTTGTTGTTTTATTTACAAAATGGTAATGATAGTCAATTAATTTGTTCATGTTACCTTTACTTTCCGTGGACATGTTTCATTTTTTGTCCAATTTTACATTAATGTGATGTGCAAATATTTTCATAAAAAATTTACCTAACATAATTTCTCTTTTTCTTTGGTACAGATAGACGAACCGTTTGAATTCTGCTTCAATTTTCCCCTTCAGTATGGTTAGACACTCTCGTATGCCAATATGTATAGTTTATATTTGCTAGTTGAGAAGTCCATTGTATATTATTGTGAATTATTATTTTATTTAATTATTTTTGGCTTGTTCTTCTTTGAATTACATTTAAGTCCGTTCAAAAAACTAAACAATGAAATACCAAAGTGGTAATGCTATAGACATAAGAATGCTGTTGTTTTATTTATAATTTGATAATGATTGTCATTTAATTTGCTAATGTGACCTTAACTTTTCATGGACATTTTTCATTATTTATCCAATTTTACCTGACATTATTTCTCTTTTTCTTTGGTACAGATGGATTTACTCATGCACAAAGCTAAATTGTACAGGACAAATTGACACTTTTTTGTATTTTTGGAAGAATTATATATTTTTGTATAGATGTATATGGAAAATATTAGGGTAGACTAGTAGTTATACTTTTGGATGGGTGTGTATGGAAAATATTTGGTAGACTACTAGTTATATTTTTGGGTTGATGCACATGGATAAAAAATTAAAACATAATAATAAGTACTTGTTATGTTTTAAAATTTTTATGCAACATGAAATATGTAATTTGGAATTACTTGTGAATGAAAATTTATAATAGTTGACTTTAATTAAATAGGTTAAAAAATGGTTGATATATGTATTTTGTTGAATGTTCATGATTTAATTTATTTGCTGATTTGAATGATTTTTGCAAATTACAAATTATATTGAATAAATTAGATGGATTCTTATAAATTACAGGTTTATTTTGTTGGATGTTGGCAACCAGATTTTGGTTTTGTTTTTCTAGTTTTGGCGACTAATTGATTAGTCGGGAAAGATGAGTTATACTTTTGCCGACTAAATAAAGTAGTCGGTGTATCACTATGCACATTTAGTGACTAAATAATTAGTTGTCAAAATTATTAATTTTGGCAATCAAAGGATTTGGTCGTGAATAGGTCTATTGCCAACTAAAGTTTTAGTTGCGTAAACATTTTTTTTGGCGACAAACATGTTTGGTCGTGGAATGAGACAATTGGCGACCAAACATTTTGGTTGTGGAATGTGACAATTGGCGACCAAAATTTTTGGTAGTAGAATGTCGCAATTGGCGACCAAACTTTTTAGTCGTTAAATGTGACAATTGGCGACCAAAATTTTTGGTCGTAGAATGTCACAATTGGCGACCAAACTTTTTAGTCGTTAAATGTGATAATTGGCGACCAAACTTTTTGGTCGTGGAATGTGACAATTGGCGATTAAGATATTTGGTCGGGAAAATATCACTTTTCGCGACCAAAGTATTTTAGCTACAAAATGGATTAGTCGCAGTAATGACATATTTAGCGACCAAAAATTTAGTCGGCAAATCTAATTTTTTTTGACCAACCAAAATTTTGGTCGCGAATTACTTTTGCCGACCCTCAATTGGCGACCAAAGTAGAGATCAAAAAATTTGGTCGCGGATAATTTTAGCCGACTAAAAATGAGCTTTTAACGACCAATTTTTTGGCCGATAAAAGTGTTATTTCTTGTAATGAGTCTTCTTTAGTGGGCGAGTAGTCTTCTTTAGTGGGCGTTTTGCCATGTATAAGTCCAGTACATGCCTTCGACATGGCTTGCAATTTGCCCCAGCCTTTGACTAAGGTAATAGCCTTCTCTCACCTGAACTTTCGCGACAATATATATGTAATTTCATTTTTTGAATGGATTTAAAAATTTTATACTAATTTTTTATTTAGAAAGAATTTGAAGAATGTGTATACATAAATGTTTCAATGCTAACCATTTGAGAACCATCAATTTCCTCGCAGCCTGTATTCGGTATTGGCTTGCTAAACCATAAATAAAGTTCTACATGTTTGCTTTATCACCCTTCAATAACTTCTTTTACCTTTGTATGCATCTTAATTACTGGTCTTGGACTAGAGGAGGTTGTTTTGGTCCACCAGATTCATCACGAGTTCTGTTTTAATGATTTAAATTGTTCATTTTGTTTGATAATTCATTTATTTTATCCACAAAAAAAATTAGGTTGATTCGATAATTGCAACTTATTCAACTTATTATTTTTCTCATAAAAAATGTATGATTTATTTTTTAAAAATACAATTATCGTCTATTTTTTTAATAAAAAATACGATAAATTGAATAAGTTACAATTGTCAGGTTGACCTAATTTTTTGTGTGGATAAAATATACGAAGTGCCTAATAAAATGAACAGTTTAAATTATCAAAACGAGAACTATGGTAAGCCCCATGAGCCCAAATAGCCCCCTCTAGTCTAGATTTTTTAAAGAAATCCCCCTCCTAAAAAATATACTTTTTATGAATATTTTTCTTCAAGACTCATTTAAAATCATATCGCGTTTAATGGATGTCTATAATGCTTAGAGAACCCTCTTTTAGACCCCTAAGTTTTCGTTTGGCATGTTAGACTTTTTGATTTTTTATTTATTTTTAGTTACAAAAAGATAAAATAAGACTTTTAGTCCAATAAGACAAAATATCACATTCAAGTCATAATCATTTTATTTTTTCTCTTAGAAAATTCAAAAAAAAAATAAAAAGTCTATCCCAAACGAGATTTTTTAACTCAAAATAGTCAAAAAATCAACAAGTCAACCCACATTCCAAACGATGTGACAAGAGAGTGAAACTTTATAGCCTATTTTAGAAACCCAGCTAAAAGTTTGTTTTTTTACTTTTTAATTTTTTTTAGGGTCATATCATATTTCTACTTCTTTACACATTTTTTTAAAAGAGACAAAAAAAAAGGGGGCAAAAAGTCAACTTTTAACCCACTTTTCAAAATAAGCCTATGTCATTTGGTATGTAATAAATAAAAAATTAGCATTTATCATATTGTATCATTGTCCGTCATTATAAGAGTTGTAAATCTAAAACATTTTTCTTGATATATTTAGGCTTTACACAAGAATAATTTGGATTTTGTAGAGCAACATTATGTAACAACTTCAACTGAATTTCAAGATTGCCAGTTTTATATAAAGAGAAACACAAATAATACACGAATAAAGCTTGTTTTCAAACATCATGGAACATGATAAAGGATCAACCCCAAGAAATCCCTAAACAGTGGTTTGAATCTAATGTTTATTAAGAAGCAACCACTGCTACTTAGGATGACAATCACGATGATGAATTACGAGTTTCTGAATTTTTGTAGCGATGGGCCGGCCCAGTGCTAAGGCCACTAAGGCATGTGCCTAGGACTCCTAAATTTTGATCCAAAATAAGGTCATAAATTTATTAGTTTTATATTAGATTATAAGTTCAAAGTCTAATTTTTTTTATTGTTTGAGACCCAGTCTAATAGGCCCCTCACAAAAGCCTGTTGAGCCAAATTAAAATATATATATATATATATATTATCATTGTTAGGCCTAATTAAAAATTTATGTAATTAGTCCAAACAAATATATATGATATAATGAGTTCAAATATAGTCTAATGTCTGGTCCAAAATAAGGTCATAAATTTATTAGTTTTATATTTGATTATAAGTTCAAAGTCTAATTTTTTTTTATTGTTTGAGACCCAGTCTAAAAGGCCCCTCACAAAAGTCTGTTGAGCCAAATTAAAAAAAAAAAAATATATATATATATATTATCATTGTTAGGCCTAATTAAAAATTTATGTAATTAGTCCAAACAAATATATATGATATAATGAGTTCAAATATAGTCTAATGTCAAGAATTTAATAGAATAAATAACTTTATCTTAATTTTTTTGCCATCTCTGTTTATCATATTTTAATTGAATAATTTTGCCTAATTTCTTTTCCTTAATTTTGTTTGTCTTAATTTTTTTGCCCTCTCTTTATCATAATTTAATTGAATAATTTTGCCTTAGTTTTTTCTCCCAAATTTTTTTCAATAATTTGTGTTTTGTTATCAAATAATTAGTGGATTGTGATTTGTGTGGATTATGATTAACATAATTATTTCGTTATCAAATATCAGTGAATTATGTTGTTTGTATTGATTATTGCTAAACTATAAAACAACAAAACCTTATTTTATCTTTTTTGAGTCTTTGTAATGATTTTATTGTATCTTAATATATAAAAATAAATTTTAATGATTATATGTGTAAGGAAACTTTTTGTAGCTACTAAATAATATAAAAAATTATTAGTAAATTTTTATTTTATCAGTAATTTTTTTATAAAAAAATATATGTAGGAGGACTCCATTCTTAAAGCCTTCCTAAAGCCCATAAATCTCAGGGCCGGCCATGGCAATGGACGAGCGCTTAAAAAAAAAAAACCATTGTGATGAACACAACAAGAACCGACATATATGCCACATTCGATTTGATCCGCTTAAAAAGCAGTATGAACGTTACCAACATCATTACCGTCGTAGAAACAAAGGCTTGTTTGAGGAAGTAACTTAAAAATTGATTTTTTGGTGATTATTTTTCGAAAGTATGTAAAAAAATATAGAGCAGATGTAACCCAAAAAAGTTAAAAAAGTAAAAAAAACCTACTTTTAACTGTATTTCCAAAACAAGCCAAAAAAAGTTAGCGGAAAATCCTTCGTAGCTTGAATCTCTCTGCCCCGAATGGCTCGACTGTCCAAAACGACGCCGTTTTGGGCCCTTTTTTTATGTTTGAAACAGAGAGTAGAGAGAGAAAAGAAAAGGAAGAGAAAGAGAAAGAGAGGGAGAGAGAAGAGAGGGAAGAGGGAATAGAGAGAGGGGGGGTCGATCGCTACCTCCGATCTCTGATTCTTCTCCACCACCGGGCCTCCGATCTTTGATCTCCACCTCCGATCTGTGTATGATGATGATGTGTTGAAATTTTTTCAGATTTTTACATTTTTTTTGGGATGCTTTCTATGGTAGGTTTGTTTTTTTATTGATCTTTATGTGTGATGATGATGATGTGTTTGGTTGATGATGATGATGCTCTCTCTCTCTCTCTCTCTCTCTTTGCTGTGTTGATGATGATGTGTTGGGCGTGTTGGGTGGGTTTGATTTTTGGTAGATGATGATCTCTCTGCTCCTCTCCTCTTTTCTTCTTCCTTCTCCTTCTCATTTTTCTTCTTCTTCTTTGTTCTTCACCCAGTTATGGAAAAAAAAAAAAAAAAAAAAAAAAAAAAAATTCAAAACGACGTCGTTTTGAATTTGAGCCAAATTCGAGCTCGGCAATTTAGAGCTACGTAGCCGCTACGTAACTGTTATTAGCCAGTATTCATCTGTTCCCGCCTATCCTCACCCTTTGGTTGCCATGTACCCTCCATGGCTATCACTGCACATATACAAAAAAAATAAAAA